AATTTGTAGTTATCATTCATCCGTTTGACAAATTTGTAGTTATCATTGTCAGCCTGTTGTCATCAAACTTGTAACCTTCCAAGGCCTCGTACTAAACGTCTGTCTACGGTGTAGGGTGAGTATTAGTTTCTGAACTTTTATATATCACAATAATCTTTTAGAGTCCTGTTAGAACCATATAAAGAATTTCTAAGGCTCGGTGAAATAGACATGTCTATGAATATGCAGCAGGCTACCTAAACTTAGAAAGACTTTACAAGGCTTCACTGTTCCTTGGGATAGAGCTCAGGCGAAGGGCGGAGAACCAGGCAAGCCGATTACTCAAAAGGACCATTGAATCACATAGTGACAAATTTCGAGATTATTTTGGAGGTTCTACCACAGGATAGTTTGACAATATGAGAAATAGCTTAGTTATTTATAAACATATGTAAGATACTTCATTTTTCTTTTTTAATGTAGGATCATTCTCAAAGCACCATTTCACGTGTAACGAATTTTCAAGCCTAACACATAATCAACACAAATGAAGTGATTTGGCTCTCTTTCAGAGTACCTTTTTCTAACCAAAGAACGTCCCGCAAGGCCTACAACCCTTCAGAACTCGTTTGAATGTGCTTTTAAAATGACTGAAAGCGCTTTTAATGAAAATGATTTTAGAATCAATCATTAGTAAAAATGTAAGTAAATTCTTAAAAAGCACTTAAAGTGCTTCCTAGAAGAAGCACATAGCTAGTACTTCTTGCAGAAAGCACTTTAAGTGCTTTTGAGACCAAAAAATATTCTCTAAAAACGCTTCCAGTCATTTTAAAAGCACATCCAAACGAGCCCTCAACCATTCTCAAACAACATGTAGCCAAACGAGCCCTCAACTATTCTCAAACAACATGTAGCACCTCATATCGTGTGATGTTACCTCACATCGACAAGGATTCACATTGCTTTACCAGTTCGAAAGTATACGCATCCAAAATATACAAATTGATCGGATATATCTGCACGTCAAGACATTACCGGAAAACGTCGAAATCACAGGCTACAAGCATGGATAGAGTTGAACACTACACAAACCAATAATCAAAGTACTTTTTCTAATATACAACCAACCATGAACTGCAACATACAAAATCAATCATCGTCCTCAAGGACGCTCCGACGCCTCTGAATCTGGAATAATGAGTGACGGAAAGACGTGTCAAAACCCAGTATATTTTTTCATGTAAAACTTCACCCATAAAAAGAAGAAACAGAATTCAGTATTATCGGTCACAACTTACAGTGACTTTGGTCTGCTTGTTTGTTTGGTTGTTGATCTGCTCCAACAACGAAATGAGTTTCTCCTCAGATACCTGAAAACTGAAGTAATGAGCACTTTGTTTCTGTTTAAACGAACTCTTGTTAATGCACTTCAAAATAATAAATAGCCCCACGCAGAAACTATAAAGCTGACCATGACATGAAGTATCACACCATACCTTCTCAACTATCTGGCCCATTTGAGCAGCTCTCAGTATAACATCTTCAACACCCCTTGCCTTCTCAGGTTTCACCAAAGCAATTCTAGCAACTGTACAATGTATAGCAGCAAATGAATTAGACCAACAGATAAGGCTAACTCAAATTCCACCAACATATCATCTTTCGGTCCTTATTTTAAAGTTTAAACAACCTACTTCTCGTGCCAAAATACACTAGACCAAGTAAAATAATCATGTTAACTAATAAAAAGTACAAAGTAAAATAATCATGTTAACTAATAAAAATGTTAGACGTATCAACTTACTTCTTTCACGAGCTTCGCCTGACACAATCTGACTAAGCATCATCTGCCTCCGTTCTTCGGCCTCCCTGCATTAATTGCATTATGTATTAATCAAATCAATAAGAACATTTTGGAAAAGCATTGTCCAAATTGATCTGAAACCCAACCCAACCCAACCTCTTGGCATCTTCATTTGCCTTGTGCTGCTCTGGGTTTTGTTGTTGCCCTCCAGACCCTCCCTGTTGATCAATGTTAGGTAGTGAGATCAGAAAGAAATCGAAACGAAACACAACCATGGAGTTTGGTGAAAATGTTCAAATGAACTAAAGCTGATTGCTTACTACACCATGTTGAGCCATAAGCTCCTGCATTCTTCTTTGTCTGATTGCTTCCAGTTCAGGATCAGCCTAAAAGAAAGACCCACGAATTTAAAAACAACAAATGTCAAACGACAAGCAAACAAAACACTTGAGGAAAGGCTTCCCTTAATATAAATATTTTGCTAACCACAATGATATTTATACCAGAAACCATAGCGACCAACTCAGCTACCTAAATGATTCTTTTCCTAAGTATACACACACATACATGTAAATACCTGGGGATTCTTAATGGGGATCCCATTTCAACTACAAAGTGTAGAACTTGAATAGCAGCATTTGGATAGAGTTTAATGAAATCCACGAACTCATAGCTTAGTGAAAATAAAACCTGTTTCTGAGTGATATATCACAAACCCTTCTTAGACCAGCAAAGAAACATGAGGATTGAGAAATCAGAACCCATTTTCACCATCCCTCCAAAACCCCATTGCATAGTACATCTCGCATCCCAGACGCCATATGAAAAACCAAAAGAAAAATCGTAGAACTTGTGAAGCAAATCTCCCGACTTGTTCAAAAGACAGACAGTTTGGAACACCCTACGACTACCAAGACAGTCGACAAAATCTTTTGAATAGACATACAAATAACCCGCACGAATGTTCAAAGCCATGCTTATATGTATATGCTTCAATATACCTAACTCTCTTTGAGCATGTTTCACAGTTTGAGGAAGTTTTCGAATCCCATTGATTTTTATGCCTGCTCGGTGTAAAAAGCCGCCATGCCCTATAACCCTGAAAGCTACAACTCTCTTCCTCTCACAACATCAAAGTGTACAGGCAGCACCAATTCCACAGTAAACATTGAACTCCCAATATTCATTTCTTAGCCAGTTGCACACCAAAATCCCAAAGAAAATCACAATCCCGCACGAAATTAAATAATCCAAAACAGCATCAAAACTTCTGAATGATTCAACTCAAACCCTAATTTTGAGAAGGAAGATAAAATCGACAAGAACTCTATACCATTTACAGACAATTCCAAAACCCTAATCTCACTAGATTTGATATCTGAACCTAAAAATAGCAGCCGAAAAAGATGCAGAAATGAAATTAAAAATAAAAAAAAGCATCAGAGAGAGAGAGAGAGGGAATACGTTACCATTGATTCGAGTTTCGGATGAGCGATCGAGTCTCCGAAACAGGTTGCGTTGGCCAGACGCGGATTCTAAAAGCACTTTTATAACCAACCAACAGACAATACTGTTTGTGTAAACTTTTTAATTTTAAAATTGAAGAAGAGGGGCAACTTAGTACTACAGTTTAATAATATTCTTATTCACTTACAAGTAAGGGGTTTTAGGTTCGATTCTCGCCAAAAGTAAATTTGAACCACATTATTGCTAGCCATTTGTGATGCTAAGTTGACCCTCCTTCCCTTAGTGTAGATAATATCGTTTGTTAAAAAAAAAAGTAAAATTTTGTTTTATAAAATTACGTTACTGCTATTAACTTTTTGTTCACCTCACCCTCCTCCTCTTAGTGTAGATAATATCGTTTGTTAAAAAAAAAAAGTAAAATTTTGTTTTATAAAATTACGTTACTGTTATTAACTTTTTGTTGAGATCAAAAGTTACATGTGTTTTTATCGTACTCGTTATCGTATTTTAAACCCTATATCGTCTCCCTTGACGCGCCCTTGTTTCATTTCCATAATACAACTCCAACTCTTGGAGTAAGTCCTAAATTTTTTTCTTCTATTCCCCCTCCATCTCTCTCCAACCCTTGTTCTAAAATTGGGTCAAAGTGTTAAAACCTAAAAAAAAAAACTCAAATTCCCCTAAGATTTAGCCCAAAACACTTGGTGGAGCTTGGAAAATATGGCCCACCCACATAGGGCTATTTGAGTTGATGTTTGATGGGTAACTGAGCCCAATGACTCTTTTATGATTTGGTAGCCACAATCACTTGGGCCGTTGGTTCATCAAACAGTTCACATTCAAACTTTTTTTTATAGTTTTATATTTATATATTTATTGAATTCAACAGTTAAAATCGAATATAATCAAATTTAACGGCAAAAAAATATCTAAGTATCCAAATTTAAATTGAACGGTTAAAATAATTAAAAAAAATTATTTAACTCAAAATTCACCCAAAAACTTTATAAATACCTATGTATTTGTTTAAACATTCGCACAAAACTCATTTTTCTCCTACAATTCTTCCAATTTTTTTTCTACCATCTTCCAAAACCATTTTTTCCCATTTCCATTTCTTCCAATCTCGATCATGTGTTTTATATTTTTCCATAGTGTTTAATGTGTCGATTTAGTGATTTTTCAATATTTATTGGAATTTAAATATTTTTAGGTCAAAATGTTCATAAAATTAATTTAGGATAGTCTACATAATTTTTTTAAAAGTTAAGTTAATAAAAATTAGTCTAAATTCATTATTTAATAATCTGAGTTAAAATTTTAGACAAAAAAAATTGAAGCAGAAAAACTATTTCTGAATTAAAACATAAATCTCCTAACTAAAATTTTTAAATTTTACTCTAAAAGTTAGTGATGATCTAATAATTGTTAAAAAAAAAAAAAAAACCTTTTTTTCTACTGCAAAATGTCTTACAAGACCGAAAAAGGGGCCACAGGAATAGAAAAGAAAATGAAAAAGTACGAAATGTACTATTTGAAACCAGCCGTTGGATTCCAACAAAACAACATCTGCATGGTCTAGGAAAGTGGAAACCCGCACACTTGTCCCGATCGAACGGTCCAGAATCCCCAGAACAAATCTCAAATGTAATACGCTGTTCATACCGAATCACACCTCACTCTGCTGAGCGCTCACTTGCTTCACTGGGAAGTCAAACAATCAGTAAGAACATCACAAATCTCAAGATTCAAAATGCTAAATCCAAAAATCTCAATCACTCTCCGTTTCCCAAAAAAAACCCAGAAATCTAGAGAGAGAAAGAGAGAGAGAGAAAGAGAGAGTGAGGGGAGAGAGAGAAACAACAGAGAGTGAAGCAAATGGGAGTGACAATGGGTCTGAATCTGCTGCTGCTGATGGCTATGGTGGCCACCAACATACTCTCACTCTACCACCTTTCCTCCACTCTCCAAACCCCAAAACCACCAACTCCCCAGCCAGTCCCTGACCACCTCCTCCACCAGCTCCACACCATACGCGCCACCATCAACCACCTCACGCGCCACCACCCATCTCCCTCTACCGCCACCTCCAAAACAACCAAACCAACCGTCCCCTCGGATCTCCTCCTCTACTCTCAGCTCTCCCCCATCGCCTCCTCCTGCCACGACCACCCTGACCTCCTCCACAAGTACATGACCTACACCCCCTTCTCTCTCTGCCCGCTGGACTCCGACCTCGCCGAGTCTCTCAGTCTTCGCGGCTGCCACCCGCTCCCCCGCCGCCGCTGCTTTACCAGAACCCCACCAAAACTCACTTCTTCTCTCCCCATGAATCCGTTTCCTCCTTCGCTTCCAGACTCCAGTGTCGTGTGGGCCAAGTATTCCTGCAAAAGCTTCAGCTGCCTCGGCGGCAAAAACCCAAATTTGGGCTTCGACCTGCCTCACGAATTGTCCAACTTCATGACTTACAAGTCGGAGCTCGACCTCCCGATCCCTCAGCTCTTCCAAATCGCCAAAGCAGCCAACTCGGTCCTCCGTCTCGGCATCGACATCGGCGGCGGAACTGGGACTTTCGCGGCGAGGATGAAGCTCTACAATGTCACCATTCTCACGACCACCATGAACCTTGGAATCCCCAACAATGAGGCGGTGGCGCTGAGGGGGTTGGTGCCAATTCACGCTCCGCTGCAGCAGCGGTTGCCGGTGTTCGACGGAGTGGTGGATCTGGTGCGGTGCGGGCACGCCGTGAACCGGTGGATACCCGTAACGGCATTGGAGTTTTTGTTGTTTGATGCGGATAGAGTGTTGAGGGGAGGAGGGTATTTGTGGTTGGATCATTTTTTCAGCAAAGGGGTGGATCTTGAGAAGGTTTTCGGACCGTTGATTGGGAAATTGGGGTACAGGAAGGTGAAGTGGGCTACGGCGAGTAAGAACGATTCCGGTGGGTTGAAGAATGGCGAGGTTTACTTGTCTGCTCTGCTCCAAAAACCCGTCTCGAAATGAGGCTGCAATTGGAGGTACTAATATGCTATTTATTTATCAATATGTTCATTGAATCTGCAAATTGTGGTCAAATTTGGTAAGTGTATTTAGTTGGATCCAGCATTTGTTGGTGGTTACTGTGTAGCTACAATGTCAGCTGAATATCAAGCATACTCAAATTAGTATATTGAGAATCGCGTTGCTATCTTAGTTGGTGTGAAGTTTTGTGCATTCTTGCCTGTTCTAAACATGATTGTTTGGTCCCCGACATGCATTGCTTTATCTGATTTGACGATTCATGTTGTTGGATAAAGTTCTATGAGATCTTAATGCGAACCAGAACCAGTCATGTTAGTTCTTTCGTTGCTATCAAATAACGTGGTGTTCTAGGGATGGACTACACTTATCAAACACCAAGTATCAAAAAAATTTCGTCAATGTGGGTTTCTTTCAGTTTCTGGTTTTTGGTTGTTTCTTCGCTGAACAGGACGATTCAGGAAGAAGAACTTATCTTCTGAGGGAAACTAGGGAATCAAACCAAACGGAAATAGGTTATACGTTCTGCTCTTTACCAGCACACGGTTTTAAGTTTTAAGGAAGTCTAAGAGGATGAAAAACTCAGTTCCTTCACATGCATCGACTTGATGCAACTAATCTTCAGCGGAGCAATAGTAGATGGTTGAAAGAATGTAAATGAATAGCAGATGTGTTTTGCTTTGGTCTAATGAATAATCCAAGATGTCAAACCCGGCAAACATTGGGTAAATTTTTCGGAGAGAATTGGTACCCGGTAAACCTTGTGAGCAGTAGTTTTTAGTCATGTGTGAACCATAAACTACATTTTCTAATTGCTTGGAAGTAGTGGTGTTGGATCATCGGATCATTGGATCATCGCACTATCTGCCACGCGGTGATTCAAACTGATGAATGGTTTCAATTTTTGTTCCCTTCAAACCACGGGAACTTTTAACTGGTATTTTTGTGTGCTTACTGTAACTTACAATCTGGCTGACATGGGGGTTTTGTGCTTGGGTTGCAGGCATTGCTGCCGATCTTTGCCGTTTACGAATTACCTCTCCTGAGAAGATGGGTGTCCTTCATCGAGCAATGAAACGGTATATTTACATTCTCCGATCTGAAGCGTGTTACGGCTTTTGCTACTTGTTACTGATGTAAACAATCGTCGAACGTCACAAGATTTGTAACGCTATGGTAGGCCGGGTGTAAATTCGAAAAGGGAACCAAGGGAGAAGCAGAAGATTAAGCATGTTCATTGGTAACCTGATAGGGATTTTACCACACATGTGAATGGGCTAAAAACTCTTATTATACTTGCAAGAATAACAAGGTTGTTGTAGTATAAACGAATCTCGCAAGGTCGTTTTCCACATGGATTATTAAATAATTCAAAGTAAACCAAATTCCAATTAATTATTTTAATGTAAAAATTGAGATGATTGATTTTATAACCTACCTAAATTAAAAAACGAATTTAACTATTAAAGATAAGACAATTTGCAATATTGAAAACTAGAAGGAAAAGAAAACAATTTTGGGAGAAATTAAATTAACAAAACACTAGGGTTTCACCATCACCTATCAATCCTATGAACTTTTACCAATTATTTATGATCTACACATGCTACTTTGAAGGTTAGATTTTTCTAATTCATATTTTACTGGGAACCTCCAACATAGAACGTATATTTAAAATGCAACCCGTCCAGATGTTCGGATCAAATCTGAACATGAAAGACTCATTATGCTTTATGAAAACCCTTTGAAAAACCATGCAATCCTTAAAACGTGGTGTTCATCCTAAGTGAAATTACAATTATTAATCACAAGAAGCCAGCGTCAATTTCAAGGAACCTTCCGACCAAAATTGTATTAAATTACTTTTCTAAAGATCCTAATGGTGATCAGGCATCAAGACAATTAGATAGTTTTTATCCCGGTGATTAACAATTCAAAGTATGCATGCAATCAATCATAAGCAATTAAATAAAAATCACATATTCATTCTAAGGCTTAAGGCTTCGCCCTAGCAAAAGGAATTAATTACGCATATTCATAATTGAAATCATAGAAAATATTATTAAGAAAAGGATTGAAAACACCTTCAAGTAGAAAATCTCCAAAACCTTCGCAATTCTCTCTTTCTCCAAAGTTGCATAAAAAGAAGCGTCGTGAAAAATTGTAGACGGCCGAGCAATATATCTGCTAAGCCCTCCCACACAAACCCTAAAAACAGGTCCTTTATTCCCCCTAGGAAACTAAAATTAATAATCAAATAAAATAGGAAATATAATCTTAAATTAAATGGTAAAATTCGCCTAAAATCTGAACAGCCACGTTTTGGACCCATAAGCTGCTCCAAAACTGGCCCAATATAGCTGGATTTAATGTTTGGAATATTCTGAACACTTCTCCAGAAGGCTACAAACCCATCCGAGGTCATCTTGGGCTCCAAAAACGCAATTTAAACCCAAAAACGTCATTTTTCAGCACTGCGCATCGCTCATTTATTTTATCGTCAGAAAATAACCGCTTGGTGGAAAAATCCCAAATTTTGATACGATCAAGCTAAGTGACTCACGAACGTCCTCCAACTGGAATTACTCCAAAATTCGTCCATTTGATCCTGTTTTGCTCCAGAGGAAATCGAAAGTCCTATATTGAAAATACAATTCAAAGTGTCAAAATTCTTCTAAAATATTAACCAAAATATACTAAGATTAGGGAAAAATATATAATATAAAATCTACTCATCATAACCCTCAGTTAATGTCATTTTGTAGGATTACTTTTGACAAATTGTAATATTTATTCCAATTAATTATTCTTAAATGAATCTGCATGACTAGATGTATGCATGAAGTAGACAGAAGGAAGTTTTTTTTTATGTTCTGTTGAAGGAATTGTTTTATGCTCGCTGATTGCCCCCTTCGCTCCCCGAACTTTGCAAGGCGTTTGTCAATTTTCTTTGTGAACTTTAAATCTAGTCGATGACTCCCTAAACCTTTATAATTAGTCGATTTAATCTTTGAATCATAGCTTTTAATCCGTTTTACGGCATTGAAAGTACAATTTAACAACCCCAATCTCCATAGAAAATATCCAATAAATCAAATTAATTTAGGTAATACGTACCTTTTAATTCCCCAACACTCACCAAATTATTTCTTTTAAAAAGTTAAAAGTGCTTTTAAGTTTCTCTGTCAAACGCTATCATAAGCACTTTTGATGATCTAAAAGTGATTTTAGTTATTTTTAAGCACCTTCAAACATACCCGAGTACAGCGCTAAACTATCGTTTGAACTCATTCATAGTAAAAAAACGTGACTTAACAATGACTTAACAATGACTTAACAATAAATAGTATTCCCACCTAATGAATATTAAATAAGATAGAATGTGTATGATGTAGATGGAAAACCATAATGTTTATGTTCTGGTCATCATCCACGTCTTCGTCTAGTTGGATGGAAAAATATCAGTGTCAAGATATAAAATGAGATCCCCTTTGGATTCTGTGTTCAGAGCCCGCAAACCAAAATATCGGACCATTTAAGAAAGAGAGAAAGAGATCCGGGCCGTTTCAGTGTTTGAATTTTTGTTAAGTGGACCAATTGGATAGGCTAATGAAAGCCGTAAGATTGAAATTAAGTAGTCCGGATCTCTCGGTCCGCGAGCTTCCAACACAAAGATCCGGAGTGGATCTTAATCCGTCAAGATATGGATGCATCACACATGTAGTTGGTAAAACAGCCCAGCTATAATAACTTGCAAAATTATAAAACCAAAATTAAAAAGTTGGAATGCGAAATCTCTAACTCTATCACCACAGCACAAAGAAAACAGTACCTTCAAGTATCTGCCTTCAGGCACGCTTGCTAAAAGAAAAACGAAAACAGTATCAAACCAGGTAATCTCCTACAATGCATCACTTCAAACCGAAGACGATGCCAAACAAAAGCCGAAAACATGTCGTTCCATGGAAACATTTTCTCACACAGCTCTGAGGGCTCAATTGGTAGCTTTCCGCCTCAGTAGGTGTTGCATGCTGATTCCATTGATCTTAGCAGCAAGTATGAAGTCATTCTCGGTCAATCCACCTACACAACGCGTATCACGTCAAAAACTATTTCTCATGTGCATCGAACTTTTCAAATGAACTGGCTCTTCAAGTACATCGAACGACTTTCAATGTTGTATTAAGGTGATCTCTAGTTGTAACATTATTAGCAAATGGTGCAGAATAGGGAACATTTGGAGTTCGGCTGGTCAGTTTTGGTGAGGTACAATTCCATCTAATTACACTGCAATTTTTCAAGGAAATATTTGGTTCACGAACGCCAGGAACCAAAACCAAACAAAAGTCTGAGCCAAATAGCTGGATTGAGTAAGCTTCAAGTACCCTATGTCAAACCATTTTCCTCAGGGTAAATCATGAATTACAATACTTTTATTTCCTAAAGCTTTAATGGTAGTAGGAAAACCTCATAAGCAAAACATTATATACACCGAGACTTGGGGACAGAAAAACCTCAGCCCTCCAAGGCTACCTAATGCATACTGGTTTTATTCACGAAACATGTATAAATATATCAGCACCAATTAATTAATGGAGAATCCTTACCAACTGCATGTGTCCATATCTCGACTGTTACATTGTTCCATCCAACTAGATGAAGATCTGGATGATGACCTAGAACATACACAATTACACATTATGGTTTTCCATCTACATCAGACATATTCCATCTTATTTAAATTCGAATGCATTCTTCATACATGCAGACAGCTACCGCTACTCATCAGAAAACAAAAACAATCTTAAAAATACCTTCTGCTTCTGCAAGATCAGCTACGAGCTTAAACATTTCAAGTCCTTTCATGAAGGTCTTAACTTTCCATGACCGTTTCAGTCTCAAGGCATCACCTTCACGCACCAAATTCCATCCGTCCACCTAAACCAAATATATTAGCTTTACAAGAGAAACATACACGTGTGTATATATATAAATATTGCAGGTGATACATTTAATCAGAAACCTTTGTGATTAATTCATTTGCTGCTTGTTCAGTCATGGGTCGCATATCCTTTGAGTCGCAAGACACACACTTCTTTATTGACAAATCTAATGCAGCCAGAAAACAGCATCAGATAAGAAAAATAAGACTTCCCTTACAAATAAAGCTATCAAAACTAGTATTACAAAAATTCGATATAAACAATAATAATCAATGCCAGTTATATTAAATAAGAAAATAACAGTCATGGATAAGCCCAGCAAATCGAGAGGCAGGTTCCTTCCCTTCAACGAATACGAGCTTCAATATTTTACTGGAAATCATACAAGCTAACTATGGAGGATAGACAGAAAAAACAGAGATGACACTTTAGACAGAAAAAACAAAGACGACACTTGAACAAATGTTTGCATTCCCAACCCCGAATAAGACTCGGAATAATTTGAAATTTAAAATTTTGCTCATAAAGGTCCTGAACCGATTAAGCAATAATTCAAAGTTGTAAACCAGGACAAGAGTACTCAGAATGGCCAATGCAATAAATCACAGACAAATCGGCTATAGTTGTGAGTAGATAATTTAGTTTTCGGCCACGTGGATTAAGCCTTGCACACAAGAAAAATTAGTCTTTACAAGCTATATCTCTGCTCCTGAGAGGTAAACAGATACAGCTGATGTCCAAAATTTCGTGAATGGATGCGAATGGAACAACGACGCCTAAATGGCTTCGATAGAGTTATACCAAAGTAATGGGATGTTCTACTGCATCCTGGCACTCCAAGATTACTTGAAAGGAATCGTTACATAAATTGAAGTTCCGAGAGAAATTGCATTTGATTATCAAACTACAAAAACGACGAAAGGTCTAGACGCACCTTTGCCAGTGCAAAAAGTTCTAAATCCAGAAACTGATTTTCTACCGGATGACAATCCCACAACGACATTGTTCCGAACCATCTCAAACACTCGGCTACCAGAACTGTATTTTAAGTACAAAATTTGTTTTCACAGAACAATCCAACGTCAAGAATGCGTGCATGCTCAAGTTATAAATAAATCAGAGAATTCTAAATTCTAAATTCTAAACAAGAAAATTGAAGGTAAAGCAGCAATCTTTTAACCTACAAATCTCAACTTCTCATCAAACAACACAATAAATCACAAGATCAATGAAAAACCGAACATGGGTAAGTCGAGAAATTATAAAAAAATGAAATTGAAGATTCAAAAAACAAAAGGGCATGCAGGGAATTACCGTCCATGAGTTCCAGTGAAGCTTTGAAACACAGATGCTAATGGTACCTGTAAATTTTCCCGATAAAATTTCAGCAAAAGGGAAAGCTGAGAGAAAGAGGAGAGAGAGGAGAGAGATAGAGAGAGAGAGAGAGATAGATACCTTCTGCAACAGTCGAGTCATGGATGTTTCTGCGGACTCCGGAAGGAAAGGCGATATTTGAACGGTGGGAGCTCGTTTTAAAAATGATTAAAATCGTTTTTGATAGAAATATTTTTTGAACTAGTTTTTAATAAAAGTATAAGTAAATTCAAAGGAAAAAATAATTTTTTCGAATTAAAAAATAAATTTTATTTGGACCCAATAAACTTATTTCTACACCCATTAAATTATTGTTAAATTTTATATTCCACTTATGCCCTAAAGAAAATATGGGTGTAGAAAAATATTATCAATCGACGAAAAATTCAGCCACAGTTGGCTGCCGAAAATTGGAAAATGGATTGCCGGAGGGTGGAGAAGAACAACAAAAATATAGTGGAGGGCAGTTGTGGTCTTCGACGACATCAAGAGAATGTGTCGCTAGAGAACCTAATAAAATCTCATCAAACCCTAATTTATCTCGTTCATCAACTCCATGGCCAAGATTGAAGGATCCAAGGATTGTGCGTGCGTCCCGAGCTTTTGGAGGAAAGGACAGGCATAACAAGGTTTGCACCATAAGAGGGCTTCGAGATCGACGGGTGAGGCTATCGGTACCCACTAAAATCCAATTGTATGATCTTCAAGAAAGGCTTGGTCTTAACCAGCCTATCAAGGTTGTCGATTGGTTGTTTGATGACGACCATAATCAAGTCTGGTTGTTCCAGAGTAGGTGGTTGGGTAGGTTTATGTGTTTGTGTAATTTTTTCAAGTTTGTAAATTTTGTATTTGAGAGTAAAATGATAAGTTTGTGGGACAAAATTTCTAAGTTGGATGTGGAAAGAAAATTAATAGGTTTAAATAAAATTTCCCTTTTAAAAGTACATCGAAAAGAGATGTACTTCTGCAAAGCTTTCGCGGTAGGACCAGGACGTTACTAAGAAAAAGAAGAGAGATAACATAGGCTGAAGTGAAAAATCGGATAAAATTGGTGGAACTATTATTAAATAAAATTAATTTCGGGGTTTTTTTAGAAATAACGTAAATTTGAGTGGTGGGTTGGGGAAAGTATAAAGTTGAGCAAACGTGTACCGAAAGCAAAAATTCGGTGCTTTCTGCTGCTTCGTCGGAGACTCCGGAGTCGCTCTCCTCCGAACAAAATGGTCAGTTTCTTTCTCACTCCTCAACTTTCTCTCTCTTGAAATTCCAATTGATTTGGCAAATGTTTTGGGCTAGGATTAGGGTTAGGGATTAGACATTGGTATCAGCTTCTTGATCTGTTTGTGAGTGGAATAGTTGGGGTCGGATCCAAGTTCCTCAGAACTGAATCTTGCAGATCCTGCAATTTTAACATAAATGAAATGCATATTTTTGAAATTAAGGTTATATATATGTATGTATATATGCTAATGCATTGTTTAATTGGAGGATAATAAATTGTTCAGATTTTATGTTTGTTTGTTCTTGTTGATTTGCTGCTGTTAGATGACTCAAAATTAACAGATGAATGGCATACATTGTCCCATTTGAATTTTTAAGAAAAAAATTGGATTTGAGCTTGCAACTGAGTTACCGTGATCCTGGGAAATGATTCTACTAGTTTTATGTGTTTGTTTGATCTGGTTCATGTTGTTATAGACAATGTAGTTGACATTGTAAACGGATCACACTTACGTTTTTAAGATGTTCAATATAAGCTTGTAAATGAGTTAACATAACCAACTATGATCCCGGGAAATCATTTGCGTAAACTTGTAGTGGAGCATATTCAGTACAATTGTGCACTTGCAATGTTAGATGTGCACGATAAGCATGGATGGGTGAGATGTCGGACCCTTTTGTAATGGCGGTGCTAGAAGCAGTTGGTGCAGTGATCCTATAATGATTCATGTTTTGCAAATCGGTTATTGGTTGTTGATTGTAGGAGTCATGCCCTTCGATAAAGAACATCCTCCTCCTTGATTCTGAAGGGAAACGTGTGGCTGTCAAGTATTATTCAGAGGAGGACTGGCCAACGGATGCTGCCAAAGAATCTTTTGAGAAAGCTGTGTTTACTAAAACTCAAAAGACAAATGCACGGACAGAAGGTAATTTAAGCTTTATTTATATCTGTATAGGTCATATGTCATCAAATTATTCGAATCCCTATCAACCGATATCCCCTCATATGAAGCATTGTGTTGTTTTGATTCGACCTGCGTCCATATAACTTGTTGCGTCTTCCTGTACAGCTGAGATAGCAATGTTTGAGGGCACCATTGTAGTTTACAAGTTTGTTCAAGACCTTCACTTTTTTGTTACTGGGGGTGAAAATGAAAATGAGCTCATTTTAGCCACAGTTCTCCAGGGTTTTTTTGATGCAGTCGGCATTCTCCTGAGGTCTTTGTTCCCGTCATAAAACTTGATAATTTTTACTCTCAAGTAGTTGTAATTTGATATTAATTTGGGCTTTCTTTTGTACAGAGGCAATGTGGACAAGAAGGAAGCTCTTGAGAATTTGGATCTCATTTTACTATGCCTTGATGAAATTGTTGATGGCGGGTAAGCTAAACGAAAAGCTAGAAAGATATAAGAACCAAGATTGTTTTAGCAATGTATATTGCTACCTTTTGTTTAGATTGGTTGTACCTTATATCTTTTACTAATCATGACCCACTAGACCTCAAATCTCGCAGCCTGAGCCTAACTGTTTATTTTTTGTTCAGTATTGTTCTTGAGACTGATTCAAATGTTATAGCAAGTAAGGTTGCAAGTCATAGCATTGACGCTGGAGCTCCGTTGTCTGAGCAGGTATATCCGTTCACTAGATAGTTAAACTCGACGTGTAAAAATACTGTGTCAACAACCGGATACTCCCTGCCACCAAATTTTATGTTGTTAACGTATGCATATTTCTTTTGGCAGACAATAAGTCAAGCATTGGCGACTGCCCGCGAACATCTAGCAAGATCACTTCTTAAATGATGTGTTGAAAGAGGAGAAGCAAGGAGAGAGGACATCAGTTTTGTATGTTTCTGTTCCATTATTGGTGTGCTTGATTTCAAGTATCGAATTAGCTTAAAATGCTGCGATGTTATCAAATTCGATTACTTTTGTAGAACTTGGTTAATTTGGACATCGGAACAGTTGATGTCAGGGGTTTAGAATTCAAGCCGATTCAAGATATACGGTTACATTGTTTGGTGAATTGAACACCATATGAACTCACAAGCGATCGTGAGCTATAAACCTTGTCAATAGCGCAACTATGGATTACGTTAACCACTTTTTAAAACTACGATATACGCTTTATACATCTATTTGGTTATACATCTATGCCTCGTTTGGTACATTGGATAGTATTAATAATATGAAGCAGGTGTTTGGTGAGCTTTGTATGAAATAAGCATCGGACTATTTAATCCGGGCCCACTTATCTTATACCCCATACCCGGCTATTTATCCCTTCTAAAACCATGGGACAATTTAGTCGGGCTCGCTCTCTCCTTCCTCTCCGAACGCACAGTTGGTCCTCCCAAGTTCTGCCCCTCCCTCATTCATCTTCCCAGGTTCCGCCCCTCCCTTTGTTTCATGGAATTTTTCTGCAATTTCTGATTTCTGGGTTTTTTCATCCGCCATTATCTAACACAACAGGCTTTAACGTCTGCAACTTTCTGTCATTTTCTAGAGCTTCAAAACTTGTGAGTAATTTACTAGGTGAAAATCAAATTCAAGTTTTAAATTTTGGGTGCATTTAGTAGTTATTTTTCTTGTTTTGTAGAGGGATTTTATTTTTATAGGATTTTTCAAGAACTAGAGCAAGCAAGCAAGCTCCAACGGCAAAACGGCTCTCTTCTGTTCATCAAACCAAAAAAGATTTGTCAAATTTTTTTTTCTTCCCTTTTCTTATCCGGTTCAGTACCAAACAGTATAAATAATACGATCATTAGTCCGATACTATAAGAAACGCCCAACTAATTTAGTCAGTACTATTCGGTGGCTATTTATCCTATTCGACAGAAATAGTCAGTACAATCCGAGCTGCCAAACAAGACCCTATTCGGTTGAGGCGTCCCCAGGAACCTTTCTCTTCCTATTCTCTTCGTTTCTGTTTCTGAGAATCCGATTGTTAAGGTACAACAATTGTATCATGCTTGTTGAATCATAACATAATCTGCGTTGTGTAGGAAAGCATCGCCGGCTGTTGGGGGTAGATTGTTGCGAGACGCATTTTTACGAACCACTTCATGATTCTCTGCCTCGTGCTGAAACATCTTCACCAACTCTTGAAGCTCCAACTTTCTAACTTCAACTTGCTCTCCAGTGACCGGTTTTTTCAACCCAAGGTAGAGCAGCCCGACCGCAATCAGCACAGTTCCTATAAAGATGAGAACGGCTGAAAATACACCAAAGGCATATGGAGCGTTCTCTGCACCCGGCATTCCATCAACATTAATTCCAAATAGCCCAGTGATGACCGAGAGCACAAGGCCGCAACCACCAAAAACAGTCAGGTTGTGCGTCACTCGAAGGCTTCGATCCTGGTTTAACATTCAGGATGATAATTTTACAGTTAAAAATCCGAACAATAAAGAGTTTTACAGTTAAAACCTAAGAATGTGTACACAGACCTGTAACCATGCACGAACGGTGCTCTGCATCACGTCCTGAATGGTGAATAAGCGGCCGCGAACTGCTTCTTGTTCCTCGATCATTTCTCTTGTACTCTTTCTTATTTGCTCTAACAAGGTTCTTGCGGCATTTCCTCTCAAATGTTGGAGAAGCTCGAATACAATCTCTTCTCGTGCATGAAGTGACCACTTCACTCTGATAACCTGCAATCGAGAGTTTGCTAACAAAATCTATTCATTTGAATGGCAGGGTAACCTCAAAGGACACTCAAACAAAATGCTTCTGCTGACTGCCTAGATGCTAAACCTAAATGTTAGCCGGACTCGATTTTTCCACTTCAACAGGGAAGGGGTATTGAAGGCCATAGGAAATACGATACCACATACATATGGTGGCTACGGGGGTTATATATTACGTATGCACCCAAACACCAAGTATACAGTTAGACCCGTAGAAATAATGGGAGTAGGGTAGATTCAGTAACATCTTAAGAAAATATATTCCTTTCCGATTGACTCAGTTTCTTGCTTCCATTTCGATGTGCAGGATCTGTACATTAGTATATCACTCAGTCACTCACACAGCCGCACCCCGGTGGCTCGTAGAAGCCATTTGTCTTACTAGGAGTGACATCCAAGGGCTCATAGAAGTCATTGTCTTACTTTCAGGTTGTTCATCTTTGCTAAATCCTTTCAACAAGAATAAACACAAATATATAATCGAGCGATTTTCACCTCCACTGGAATTCGGTAGCAAGGAGATACAGCATACAGCATACCTGTGTCGATAGCTTTCTGATTTCTTGGTTGAGGATTACAGTGAAAAGATTCAGATCCTCATGGTTTCTCCTATTAAAAAAAGAAGGTAAAGTCATAAGTGAAGTCCAAACTAAATAGTAATTAACGAGGTAATATTACTTTACGAGGAATGGTTGTATGCATATGGAAGAACCTGTCCATAAATTTTAATTCAACCTCATCTGCTGCTCCAAATATGGACTTACGGAATAACCTGAAACAGCGGAGACATTGAAGGGAACCACAAATTAGAGAAAATAAAATGACAAACATGTAACAATGCACACACAACGTTATGGAAAGCGGAAGAGAATTAGTTGTTGTACATGCATGAGCCAACACCAATAATTGATGTGTCATTTCCACAGTAGGTAGGCTGCTGTAATGTTTGCTAAATCAGAACGACAGTGTTAAAGTTACCTGTCATCCCATCGAGAAAGGCGGCAAGCTAGATGTGCTATGACTTCATGCACTGTTCTCGGTGCATTATAGCCTCCAGTTGAAAGAAGTTCCTAACCATATCAAGGGATTAAACCACCAACCTTTAAGTTCAATGCACAAACAACGTAACACAGTAAGAAGATCAAAGCCACTGAAAGGATCAATCAAGGATGAACAACCTGAACTTCTGTGATACCCAACACATTTATGCTTGACACCGAGCCTTTAATATGCAAAACCGTTACAAGGAAGTTTTGTGCTTGCCACGATCGAAGTACAATGGGGACATCATCCTCATCAACAAATGGATTCCCAGCAGACTGACCCAAAAGCTCAAATAGCAACCCCCCAGCAACCCTAACTGGGACCTGGATAGAGGCATCAAAGCATGTTCAAAATCAGATTCCGAAAAAGTTTGAGCTGAAAGCCAGTCACTTTGTTTGTTACAATCCTGCGAATTACTGCAACAGGCTTTACAAACCAATACTACTAATTATTTTGCAATTTCAGATATAACAAACGCAATGTACCTCGTATAGCAGGTGCTTCATCCGGTCACTGATCAGTCGACTTTCATCTCTTAAAGCTAAGCCAACTGCAGGGTGAAGCCACTGGGCATTCTTTAGCCATGCTTCAACTGTGGGGTGGCCTGCAGAGACATGGCACCACCAAATGGGCCCTGCCGGACGCTCCCAATACGGAGCTGCTAAATCTGCAACAGTGAAGTCATCTTCACCATCCATCCCAACCTGCTGAGAGGGCCAACTAGCATTTGCTTGCACGGTTAGTACAATTTCCGAAATCCTAACCCACCCAATTGGAACCCAATGACCACCCTCAAATCTTTCGATATCCTGAACTTGGCCTGATTGCTGGCTTCCATCTTCCATTTGGGATGGAGAATCAGAAAATCCGTAAGAAGGAACACGCACCCTTTCTTGCTCACCATCTGCTTGTTGTTTGGTGGGGATCCTTGGACCGGGTTTTGAACTGATTGGTTTCTTCCGGCTCCGAATAAACTCAAAAGCACAAATAAGTCCATCTTTCCAAAGATCATTCCCAGGCATTGGATCTCTACTAGGACCATTTCTATGGTTATCCGGTTTCTTCGTGTTATTGCAATGGGAAGAAGAACCGTTCTCCCCCACCCTACTCTTTCTCTGTTCCATCAGTGCACATAACAATCAGCTAATATTCTCAGAAGCCCAAGGAGAATGGACAATCACAATGTTCGGTCGCAATTCTTGATCACAGCTAAATACTGCAATGTTTGGAAAAATTATCAAAACCTGACTACAATTAACTAATGAATTATAATTTCAGTCCATGGATTGCAGTTTGCAGTTTGCAGTTTGCATTCATAATTTGGGACAGCATAACTGATAAAGATTCAAACTTTCCATCTCTGAGTATAAAAAATTTACAGACATTGCAACCTGCAAGGCTCCAAGTCCAAGCTAAACAAGAAAACAGAAGAACTTGCAAGCAAACAAATAAAATCTACCCATATAAGCAAACAGACCCAGAAAACAAATGTAAGAAATACCCAAGAAACAAAAATCAAGTGGGAGAGAGAGAGAGAAAATTGTACCTGAAAAATCAGTGCCAAAAAAAATGATTAATTTAAATGGTAAATTATGGGTTTTTGAGTGAATAAAACATGATTTCTATCTCTGTTAATTATTACGAGGAAATGAGATGAGAGGAGGAGCTTACCTAGGAAAGAAGGTAACAGTGTTACTCAAATCCAAAAAGGCAATGCCTTTGTTTGATTTCTGCAGGAGAAAATGTTGAAAAACTTTAACTCTGCGAAAAAGGGAAGGACGTGGAAAGGCTACGAACGTTGGATTTCTTGCAGGTGGTGTGCATTTACACCGCCATAATTGTTCGAATACACGGCACCCACAAAACACCCAATACATTTTAACGAAAATTCATATTTTTATATTAAAAAATAAATCTTGGTATTATTTATTTTATTGTTAATTTTGTTTTTATTGTTAAAATTTAAAATTTTCAAACTTTTTTCATTAATTTTTCTATAATAATATTGCTTCAGTCTAAAAAAGGGTTTTCAATTGCACTGTTTAAATAAACAGTGTTTGGGACCAAATTTTATTTTCTTTACAGCCATGCCACTGAGTCTTTCTGCCACTGCTTTTGCTGCTGGGTTAGTTCGTTTTGGGCTGTATTTTTTGGGCTTACCTCAATTGTTAATGAGGCTGGCCCTTCGGTGTTCAAATGACGGAAATATTCATCTAAGGTTAGGATCACGAGGCTAGAATTAAAGGATTGTAGGGCACTTTTGTCATCTTGATTTTGGGATTGGGATTGATGGTGAGGGAGACAGAGAGGGACATCGGCCATGCCGCTTGCAGAGGAAGAGAGCGATAGAGAGAGATTTCGTGCGGATCGTCGATTCAGGGGTGGGAGGGTGACAGTGAAAGAAACCAAGAGAGAGTCGAGAGAGAAAGAGAGATTTCGTGCGGATATTCCAATTGGTCATTGATTCTTAGGTGCTACAAAGTCTTTTTAGTTACTTTGTGCGAAAACTATTCATGCACGTTGCGACTAATGCATTCAACGCCCGCAACAAACAAATGCCAAGTTTACAAAAAACAGGGGAAGTATCCATCAACTCAACAATGAACATCCCTATTTTTAGCACACGATATATCAGAACAGAACAGGTTTACCATCCTTTCAAATAAGTTCTATATGTAGATCAAACATCGATCAGAAAACAAAGCAGAAGAAGCAACAGAATCACAGGAGTCCATATAATCCATCCAAAGAATTCACCGTCTGCATTCATGAAATCACGATAACCATATAAACCATTTGCGCCCAAGAAGCTTCTCAACGACCTGAACCAAATACCCATTCACCACTCAAACATGTAAACAAATCTACAACAAACCGAAAAGCTTCTGCAATCATAAGCAACTACGCGTATAGCGCATGTGATGAAACTGACTCAAGCAGCAATGAATACGCCAAAGATACAGCTAACAAAATTAGAAGAAAAACAAACAACTTTTCTATTCGAGTTTGACATATTACAACATAAAGCACCATGACGCTTCTGCTATAGCAAGATAAACTCCTAAATCAGTATATTAGCATGTATATATACGTGTGTATACCAAAAACAGAAACTATGAATACGAAAATTAAGCTCTGCTACTCTCCATTTTTTCCTAAGAAAAATCTGAGGCTGCAACATGAAACCCACGAACCTAATTAGCCGCTCCATCTGCCGATAGGCTGGAGGGAAGGGGTCCTCAAGAGTATCCTTATTGTATAAGGGTAGATCTTGATCGTCCGGATCTAGATTATTGTTGGGGGTGGACCATCATTGGGAGGTGGGCCAATATTGGGAGTAGGGCTAGAAAAAAATCCCAAAAATCCCAAATCGAACCGAAAAATTCCCGAAATCAAACCGAAAAAATCCCAAACCGAAATTCCCGAAAATTTCGGTATCCAATACCAAATCGATCCCGAAATTTCGGTACGGGAATCGGTCTCAAGTTTTTGGGATTTCGGTATTCCCAAACCGAACCGAAAAAAAATAAAAAATATATATATATATATTATTTAATTTCTAAATATATAGGAGCACATCTTTAAGGGGAACATCATCTACCTACAATAGTGAAAATTGAAATACTAAAGGAGCATTGGAAATCGATGATGGACCGTATACAGGAAGGAGCCCTAAGATAGATAGTGGAACATATTCAGAATTTTTAAATCACAGAAGATCGATAGATGGATACATAGATGCAGAATAAACACGGGAGATTGATAGATGGATACATGGATAGATTATAAGTTACAATTTGCTTGAGAAAACTTTACATCTATCTATAATATTTATATTATATATGTACAGAAGTTTACTCAAGCATATATTAACGTTTTAGACGTAATTTTGGGGACTGGCATGATTATAGATAATTGCACTAGTTTAGGGGTGGTTCGGTATGGGTTCCCATACCGAAACCCTTGTCCCGATTCCCAAACCGAAATTTTCGGGAATCCCAATTTCAATACCGATCCCAAACCAAATTTTCGGGAATCCCAATTTTCGGGAATCCCGAAATAGTTTCGGGATTTCGGGACAAATCGGGAATCCCAAAATGGTTTTGGGCTTTTGGACTAAAATTTGACATATTATGCTTTTGGGCTAAAATTCAACCTTTTATATTGAAAAATTGACATATAGGCAGACTCAATCTGCCAATTTGTTTCTACTAATCTGTGCACACAAATCTGCCAATCAAATGGCAAGGCCCAGTTAGTCTCTGCCTATTTGTTTCTGCCTATTCAAAAGCAATCTGCCAATCTGAAACGTTAATATGTGCTTGAGTAAACTAGTGCAATTATCTATAATCATGCCAGTCCCCAAAATTACGTCTAAAACGTTAATATATGCTTGAGTAAACTTCTGTACATATATAATATAAATATTATAGATAGATGTAAAGTTTTCTCAAGCAAATTGTAACTTATAATCTATCCATGTATCCATCTATCAATCTCCCGTGTTTACTCTGCATCTATGTATCCATCTATCAATCTTCTGTGATTTAAAAATTCTGAATATACGGTCCATCATCGATTTCCACTATCTATCTTAGGGCTCCTTCTTGTATACGGTCCATCATCGATTTCCAATGCTCCTTCAGTATTTCAATTTTCACTATTGTAGGTAGATGATGTTCCCCTTAAAGATGTGCTCCTATATATTTAGAAATTAAATAATATATATATATATATTTTTTTTTTTTTTCGGTTCGGTTTGGGAATACCGAAATCCCAAAAACTTGAGATCGATTCCCGTACCGAAATTTCGGGATCGATTTGGTATTGGATACCGAAATTTTCGGGAATTTCGGTTTGGGATTTTTTCGGTTTGGTTTCGGGAATTTTTCGGTTCGGTTTGGGATTTTTGGGATTTTTTTCCAGCCCTAAGTTTACTCAAGCACATATTAACGTTTCAGATTGGCAGATTGCTTTTGAATAGGCAGAAACAAATAGGCAGAGACTAACTGGGCCTTGCCATTTGATTGGCAGATTTGTGTGCACAGATTAGTATAAACAAATTGGCAGATTGAGTCTGCCTATATGTCAATTTTTCAATATAAAATGTTGAATTTTAGCCCAAAAGCATAATATGTCAAATTTTAGTCCAAAAGCCCAAAAGCCCAAAACCATTTTGGGATTCCCGATTTGTCCCGAAATCCTGAAACTATTTCGGGATTCCCGAAAATTGGGATTCCTGAAAATTTGGTTTGGGATCGGTATTGAAATTGGGATTCCCGAAAATTTCGGTTTGGGAATCGGGACAAGGGTTTCGGTATGGGAACCCATACCGAACCACCCCTAATTGGGAGTCTTTTCTATTTATCGTTGTTTAGAAACTAATTCATGAGTTATATTTGAAAATTTGCACATTCACCCTAACATGGTTTGTGGGGAAGTGAAATTGAAACCCTTACTTTTAGTCCAAGTGTATTTTAATTTTTGTAAAGTTTAGTATATGTGATAAATAAAGTAATAATTGTTCCACCCAAGGCTTTACTTAGTAATCGGGACAGTCATGCCTAATCAGCAATGATTCTTGCGTCTAACGGTAGAGTCTTGGCATTGGACAATGTGTAAGGTTTCGTAGCCTTTTCAACTCGAGTTAGTAAGTCCTTAAGGGTGCGTTTGTTGCGCCAGACTGTTTCGGACTGGACTAGCTGCCGGGACTAAGCTGGACTGGCTTAGACTGGACTAAGCTGGACTAACTTAGTGAAGCGTTTGGTGTAATGTCGGACTAAGAAGCAGGATAAGAAAAACAGTACTGTTCACCAGATTTGTGTTTGCTTAGACTAGGACTACAAATTTTTGCCATTGTGTAATAGAGTAATGCTACAAATCTCATGATATGGGTTAATTGGAGCATATTTTTGCCATGTATATTATGAATCTTAAAAAAAATTGACAATTGTTTTGTTTCTATTACCTGCTAATAGAATTGGGTTTAATTTGCAAATGTAGCTTGGTTTAAACTCTATCACCCAACATAAGAAAAATAATAGTGCCCAATACATGCAACTTCAACAAATACAAGTACATAAGAAGATCTCCATAATTTAGAAAATCCTAGTTAACATTAGTTAACATTAGCCAAAATAGATCTCCATAATTTACAAAATGGCTAGTTAACATAAGCCAAAATACTAGTGCAAAGCTAAGTTATAAGCCATAACATAAGATTGTATGATTAATAAAATACATCCATGTTAACATTAATAAAATACATCCATGTTAACATTAGCCAAAATCCTCATCCGCTTGCGTTGTCGCTTAAAAGCCTTTGGACGAACACTTTCTTGAGTTCCGGTTTGATTGCCCTGAACACTCCCACATTTTTTGGTTTATCCAAAATAAGAGACAATGCATCAATTTGATCCATAGGAGAGAGACCCATTGCTTCAAGTTCATTAGCTATGTCAGTATGATCTGCAGTACCTTGAACTAAAGCTTCAGTTACCATTTGCATCCTCTTCCCACTTTCAACATAAAAATCTTTCAGTCCACTGATAATTGCCTCGGTTCCATCACTTGAACTTACCACAGCTCTTTTCCTCTTTCTTTAGCTATTTTCAGATGGGGTGCTTTGTTGGCTTTGTTGGTTCATTGAAGAAACAAAATTTTCACCTCCAATATCACTTTCACCAACATGATCATGACTTTGTTCCTCCACCATTTGAGCAGGGGTTTCGGCTACATTACCCGTAGCCCGATCTTTTCCAAATATATATGCAAATCTATCAAACAGTGGAAAATGTTTGCTTCTCCATCCATCGGCTTCTTTATT